CAGAAGGGCAGACAATCTGTCTCCTTCATATTTCAGGCACAAGCAATAATAAACCCTTGTGAGAAATCAAATCAAATTAACGTTTCGTATTAGAACATCATATCATCAAAACAGAACTGTCAGGTACTCTCGAAAGGACTAATGTACCTTGGCAAAGAATTGACCAGTTTCTGCATGCAGGTAAGAAGTTAATGTGTCCTTAATTCTTTTGGTGTCGAAACACATATTAGTATGAACAAAAATCCCAACACTGTATCCGCATGGTTTCTGCTGTTGAGGACTTTTTAGCTACATAATTTTTTCAAAAAAATAACCAATGAAAACGGTTTGAAAACTTTAAATTTTAACTATAATAATAAAATAAAAGGTAAAATAAATAGTACCAAAATTGATTTTTTAGTGTAAAAAATATAATTTTTCGTTAAAATGAACAGTACCAAGACATTTTCGTTAAAATTCTTTTTTTCAACGAAAAAGGAAAAATAAAAAATAAAAAATCCCCACCTAGTTGTTTTTTTTTTTTTTTTTTTTTTTTTTTTTGGGTGGTGGGAATCCTAGCTAGCTAATGACTGCAATTTTATATCTGTTATGGTCAACTCTCATTCCACTGACCTGTATGGTCTGTTGGATTTAAATGTGGATATGGGATGGGACTGAAGTGGGAAATGGGGGTTTTCTGCATCTTTGAAATCATGTGGCTTTAATTTTCATCAGTTATACGAATCCTTCACACACCTCCCATAACTTGGATGGCATTTTATAACTTGGTTCAATTCATTTCTAGACATTATTCGTTAATTACTTCAAGAAATCTTTTAATTTCTTACTATTATGTTTTTTATTATTATTATTGAGAAATATTATTTGTCAAAATTATAGAATCGGATTGGTGACCCACAATTAATTATATAAATATTATTCCAACTTACCATCTACACAACTATTGATCAGTTTTATCACAAAAGGTCGGTATGCATTAAGAGAAAAACCATCCAATATAAAGTTCAACTTTGTTTTGTCAAGTTTCCGACTAGGATTGTGTTCTTCAATATTAAATTATTATTATTATAACTAACATATGGGCACACACAAAGTCTGTGAGAAATTTTTTATTTTTGCTTTTGAAATAGAAGGAAAGAGGAAGAGGGTGATAGAAAATGTGGAAGTGGGAAGTTTTTATTTATTTTATTCATTTTAATTAGAGATATGTTATAATTTACATGTAGGTGAGGCTTTGAAAAAAAACAGCAAAATTTGGTTGTGTGAAATTACATTTCTATCCCATATTTTTTATTCATATTCTGTTTTAATTAGAGGGTTAAACTGATAATTTTATAGAATTTTGGTTGACAATAAGTATTTTATTAATTAGTAGAGATTATTATTATTATTAATCATCATCATCAATCTCTACACTAAATAATCTGTTACTTCTACGCTCTATTCACATGCAAACTGATGTGAAAGCGTGATCATGAATCTAAACACATCAGACTAAACATTAATCTCAAACTTTGTGTGTGGGGCCTGATGATCTATGTATACACACATATATCATATATAAAGATTTCTAATTGGTTGATCATATTTATTATTTTAGATAATAAAGAATATATGATGAAGTGTCGATTTAGTCCCTAAACTAATAAACTAACATCTCAGTTAAAATTAGGTCATTGAATTATTTTTTCTGTAAAATAGTCTATAAATTCATTAAAAATTGCTAATTTCATCCCTACTATTATATTCAAAGCTATTTAATCCAATTTTTCGTCAACTTAAGTCACTTGACACACTTTAGAGTGTAATACCATCATTTTCTCGCTTATAAACCCTTAACATGTCTTATAGGTTGTGAATCTAACGTCTAGTTTATCCTTCAAAGTTAACTTATACTATTTCTTATGTAAAACTACCAATTTACCCTCTAAAGTTAACTCTGTACATTATTTCTTTATGAAAATGTGTATCACATAGGAGTAATGTGACTTAAATTGACGAAAAATTGAATATAGTAGCTTTGAATATAATATTAGGAATGTAATTGGTAGATTTTTATAATTCAAGGACTGAATTTTTCTGAAAAAAATAGTTTAAGGATCTAATTTTTACTGATGTGATAATTTAAGGACTAAATTGACAGTTCATCCAAGAATATATATATATATATATATATATATATATATATATATATATGTAGTTTCATGTTTAATTCACGTGCGGCTCAGCATACTGATCTGTCTTTGTGTTGATTTTAATTTACAGAAAATATTTATTGTATGACCATGCTGCTGCAGCTATGTACTAGTCTTCGATCACATTTAGAAGCTCATGCTTCCATATATATATATATATAGCACCGTTCGATGGGTAGTAACTGCTGCGGGAGGAAGACTAGGTGAAAACAATTTGAAATCATTAATATGCTTTAGAATAACAAAGGTTTTGTATTTTAATTATTTAAGAATTTGTTAAGTTATTTTGGGAGTTGTAAGGGTGTCATGGAAACTTGAGTTCTATTAATTTGTAAATGCTTATAAATATTGTACGAGAAAGTCTTGAATGACAAATTTGAATGAATTAGAAATATATTTTGCTTTGTGCAATTGAAGTTAGTGATATCTCCTTCCCTAATCAAGCATTTGGCTTGGTCGTATGAGTGAATCCACAATTAGTGACGTGAGCGAGCTCCGTTGCCCCTGGTTGAGTGAATCCCAAGTTATCTATCCCCCTTTCCTCGATACCCTTAGTTTTGTCCTGCATCAAGTGGCATCAGAGCAGGTTTTCGGATTTTTATTTGAAATCCTGGTGGTAGCGCTAAGCACATCATTTGTGTTCGTCCTCAAAACCAACTCAATTCCTGTGACTTTTATCTAGAGAGTCATACATCACTGGAAAGCTGTGGAAGTCCAGTTTCCAACGCAACAAACTGTGCATCAAACCGAATTTTGTGTGTGCAGATATTGGCAAAACACCATAGAGCATCAGTGATGTCGTGAAAACAAAATCAGTTCTCTTGTGGGTCATTTTTCGATTTGGTTAAGCATTTCTCGACCTTCATGCCATATATCATTTGAAAGCCGTTCCAGTCTAGTTTCTAAATTCTCAAGCGATTCCTCAATCCGTTATTTCTACAAAGCAATATCTTCAATTTGCTAAAGTATATTGTTGCCTCCAGTAAATGAGGTTAGATGGGTTCTAGAAACGGCTGTCTTTGATTTTTCAAGTGACGATTTTCTAAATCTCAATCTTCCTCCAAATTTTGATCGTTGTCCAGATGGTGCATGTGAGATTTTTTGTGCATGTAATGAGGTTGAAAAACGTTCCAACATGGAGTTTGGCACGAAAGGGGAATATACAGAAAGCAGTGATGTAATCGATAACTTGGCCGAATGGGATTCCGTCCCAGTTTATGATCAATACGAGGGCAATGAACATATGGTTGAAGAGTTCCATGGACAACTATATAATGGAGTACAAGCTCTTAATATCCGTAGCATTCATGATCCTTTTTGGGACAGTTTCATTGCTCAACATGAGAAGAGAGCTCTTTGATAGAAGAACTTTTCAACATGACTTGAAATCTCTCGGCTCATTTGAAGAAGTGATTTGGAAGCACTATTCCAAGGTAATTATTTTCACGAAGAAAATAATTAATGTGTGCATGGTCTATAGGAACTTCGAAAATTTTGGTGCTAAATTGGGTATTGTGGAACATCTTGGTTGGACATCCAAAAGATCGAGGGGAAAAAAAAAAAAAAAAAAAAAAAAAGAGACCAAATGAAATTCAAGGACGAATCTTCTTCGAGAAGGGGAGAATGATGCGGGAGGAAGACTTGGAGAAACCAATTTGAAACTATTAATATGCTTTGGAATAACAAAGGTTTTGTATTTTAATTACTTAAGAATTTGTTAAGTTATTTTGGGAGTTGTAAGGGTGTCATGGAAAGTTGAGGTCTATTAATTTGTAAACGCTTATAAATATTGTACTAGAAAGCCTTGAAGGACATACTTAAATGAATTAAAATATATGTTTCTTTGTGCAATTGAAGTGAGTGATTTCTCTTTCCCTAATCAAGCATTTGGCTTGGTCGTGTGAGCGAATTCACGATTAACGACGTGAGCGAGCTCCGTTGTCCCTGATTGAGTGATTCCCAGGTTATCATCCCCCGCCTCCCCGAGAACCCTTGGCTTGTCCTGCATCAATAACTATATGTGAGTTCCCTTGCTCTAAATTTTTTATATGCTATTCTTGTTTGATATATATATATATATATATATATAGCACTGACTTAATTTGTGAATTAAAGACAGCCGATGGCAATGGGTGAGACTCCCCATGGGCCATGGTCATCAAAGCATGGACACAGTGACAGATGACAGATAACATTACAGACCCTCTCTCGTCTTTGTAAATGGCATCTAAGTTGAAGATTAATTCTTACCTATTCTTGGTTGTATATCTCATTGTTATCTTTTTCATATGTCACACAGCACATGCATTACAGACCTCTTATCTTAGTCGTTGATGCGTGTAATATCAATTTTGTGATTCTCAGTCAACTATTCTTAGGTGTATACTCCTTTGTGTTTGTCTGTCATCATGTGATTAGTCATGAATAAAATTGATTCCTTCCAATCGCTAAAAGATGGTAGGATTGGAAAGGATAAATTTTAAGTGCTAATCATTCTTATAACTACAGAGTGAAAAATATTTGGAAGTCAACATCCATTAAAACCTCAATTAATTTCCACTCCAGTTTGTTTAATCTTCATCTCTGTGAGCTGAAATTAAATTGAAAAATGCCCCATAGCTAAGTTTATGTACAACCCTAACCCCTTGGCTAGTTGGCTTTCTCCAACAGGCAAGAACAAGAGGAGGTAGCCCTATTGGATACATGGAACAGAAACAATGAATGTATACATCAGCAAGGTACACGGATCGGAAAAACTGCGAATCCGGTTATCTTTTGAGTGTTGGAATGGAAGCTTGAGATAAGTATCATAAGAGAGCTTAACAATAACATTAATTCTTCGGCTAATCAGCGTTTATGTGACACAGTTGATGAACTACTGACAAGTCGAAGAAATGAAACAGAAGTAACCTGAGAGTCTTTGCTTATTGTTTTCATAAGTTTGACAATAATAAAGAATGTCTCACTCTCACCTTGTCTGATATCTAACAGTTCCCGGCTTTTTTTCCCGATCAAATAAGAAGAAATCTAAACAAGCAATTCCTAAAAGTACACAGATAAGGGGTTCTTTTAATATTTTCGCTTACGCTTTCCTCCTCCTGGAACTTAAAATGAAATCGTCGTCGTCGTCACTCTCTTTGACAACTCTCTTCTTGGCTTTTACATCGCCGTTCTTAGATGCCTGCTGTTGTGGCCTCTGTGAACTCTCAGGTTTACTTGCTGGTTTTGGTGTAGACTTAATAGGAGTTCCCAAACGAAGTTGCTTTTGCTTTCTCTGCTTCTTCTCATATGCCTTTCTAGATCTTTCATGGGACAATAGGCCATGTTCCATCATCCTGCAAACGAAAAGGGCATACCAATATTTAAAAGAAAATCCACGTAGCATCTAATTCACGGCACCAGAAATTAAAAGACTACCGATGCACATCAATCATTTACTAGCTCGCATCATAGATATCAACAAGACTGCTGTATATTTCCCCTTAAAAGAGACAGTTCTTACAAGTTGGTCGGTTAGTTTTCAAATTTGTGTAGGGTACAAGTGTAAATAAGTTCATTAACCACATAGTTTACCAGTGCAGCAAAGAACCAAAAAAAATCCAAAACATAAGAAACATCATCAGAAGTAAATGGCTTCCAAAGTTCAAAACAAACATTTGAGGATAACATCCAAGAAGGATTCCTCATGTATAAAAAAACTTGAGAGCATGTTTTGATCGGAGATTCAGAACTGTGATAACGCACATTGCTCAGAAACGCTTGATCCACTAGCCCCAAAACATTCACAGGAGAAGCAATGGAGATTGAAGAGAATATGAATTACTGTATTGAAGAACTGCAAATGCGTGGTGTCATGTTGAAGTGCACAGTGTAAGGGACTGAGCACATTCTTCAGCAGCCAAATACAAAGTTGGCTGGTTCCACACCATGTAAGATTGGTCTACTTGTTCTTCTACAAATTGCTATTGTTTTTCATGGCCCTAACTGATCAAAACATGTTTTCAAGAAAAAATTAGAACGTAAGGCAATTTCAACAAGATCATCTGAAGCTAGCCAACCTACCAGAGTGCAGACTAGGGAAAAGCAGGGCCTGTTCAAAATCACGAGTCACTAGCTGTTTTGTTGGTTCAATAAGAAAAAGATTATGCTACTTGGCTAAAGACCTCCGAAAATGCAACCAAAAGGACATAGCAGGCTGCTTCTCTGACTTTTCCTCACTTCCAATAAAGTTTAGATTCTTCACTCTTCATTGAAACTCATATAATCAATCCCCACTACATATAGAATTGGAGGCCATCAAATACACACATATAGACTTGTTTTGTTAGTGAACATGTGGCTTAATTGGTAAAGTTGTTGTCCACATAACAATGTGTATATGCAATTCTTCCAAATGGATATTTGGCTTAGGCATATCCAAGACAGTGAACAGGCACCGTCGTTGCACAGTCGAAGTCAACTAAGTTTAAATTGTCTTTGAAGAATTGCTATCATCATTAGGAACTTTTGAATGGAAGGGGGCATTGCGATACACAGTTTACTTCCAAGTTCCACTAATATCAACCTTGAAATCAAATTTAAGCATCCTACACATTCGCCATATAATCAGATAGAAGGAGAGAGGCTTTCGTAACATAAGGAAAAAGTTACCAGAATTCAGCCATTTCACTTGTTGGTATCTGTTTGGACAATGACTCGTAGAAGATCCGCAGAGGTTCTCTCTGGAAATTGGAAGCATAAGAAACTCAAGGATGAGTGACACTTTATCCCATATAGCCATTATTGTCTCAAACAATCATAGGAATAATCAAATAAATGTCATGGGGGAAGAAGTACCTCTTCAGGAGGATCAAATTTCTGGCCAGCCAAAGTGTACACTTTCTTCTCTCTCACTTTTGTGGTGGTTTTCTTTGTTATCGTCTTTGATGCCGAATTTGGTTTTGATTTTACCTTCACATTTGAACAAATAATACTGAATCCATCACATCCACCATGAAATCAACACAATCAAGTCTGATACCGGGAACGGGAACCCCTCAGAGAGGCATATAGGTTGCACGGCAAATCAACTATGTCATTGCCAATTATCCAAAGGGTAGGATTTTCACTCGCCTAGTTTCTCCTTCTGCACTCCTCCCTTGTTTCTGCCTCTTAATTCTCCGAAGATTTATTCAATCCTAAAACTATTTACAAGGGGCAGGGTGCAGAAGGAGGAAATAGGAGTGCGGAGATCACTTTGCTTGTCCAAATTAATTAAGAAACCCCCCAACCTAATATCACCTAATCCATTAGAAATAGATAAACCAATTCAAAACCCCACAAATCCAATTCACCAAATAGAAAAACCAATCATAAGACCACATCTTTAAGGTCAAAAAACTAAGAACAAGCAAATCAGAACCACAAATTCCACTATGTCATTGTCAATTATCCAAATTAATTAACATGCCAAATTAGAACATCCCCTAATTCATTAGAAAAAGCTAAATCAATTCACAACCCCACAAACCCAATTTACCCAATTGAAAAACCAATCCAAAGATCACAACTTTAAGGTCAAAATGTTAAAATATCAATGAAATTTGGCCTGGGTTTTACCTCAGTTTTTGTAACAGTTTGCACAGATTTCTGCTTGGAATCAGCTGCCTGCTTGCTTGAAGAGCTCTCAATCTTCTCTTGGTAACAGAATATCCAATCTTTCCCTTTGAAGAACCATCCTGCACGTTGCCGCCGCTCTTCACCTTCAACGAAGTAGCCATGGATTCCCACCACAAATCTCTGTAAATTAATTTAATTTAATCTCTTGCTGTTTGGTTTTGATCGGATAATATGAGACTTTATCTGCTTTTTGTTTCCACCTACTCTTTTCATTGAAAATTCATCAATGTAATAAACTTTGATGAATTCAAAGGATTTAATCTTATTAAAATATCAAATAAAATAAAGGGAAAACTAATTGAAAAATCAAGGAAAAAAAATATGGATATTTGGATTTGGATATATCAGATTTGCAGGTTAATGCGTATCTTTTAACTGCTTTTTTCAGGTTTTGCAAACAGATGAACAACAGCTTCTGTCCTCTTTTATTTATTTATTTATTTTTGCTTGTTCACCTCATTCGTGCATCTTGAACGTTTATCTGTGGACGTTGGAGAATCTTATGATCGAACGGTCATGATATAAAACTTGAGGATTTTAGACTGTCGAGGCAATGCACTAACTTTCACATTAACGATGATCGGGCAACGTGTTGGAATGATAACCGAGCTTGCTTTGTAACTTTTACCGGTTGATTTAGGTTGTCCAAAACTCCAAGGAGATCAAATTATAAGAGGTTGAGTTAATACCATAATTAAATTGTTTAAATATAACACATGTTATTGACATTCTGGAAAAATTATCTACACTTTAATTATAAACATAAAAAAAAAATTGTATAACAAAGTGTGCATGATGAACATTTTTAAGCAGCAACAACAACAACATCCGAAATATGATCATAACAATATAGAAACTATCAAAACTATGTAGTTTGATACTGTTCCCTAGATACACATACTTGCTCCTAACCAACATTTGTTTCCAATATCGGGCGGATTTGTTTCTAAGATTTTCAACCCAAAATAGGATTCAGTGGTGTATTCATTTGAGATTCTAAAGAAATTTAAGGGTTTTGAATTTGGTATTCTACTAGAAAAGTTTCATTAGTTTTAAAAATACTTTTTGGGACCATCTCTTAAGAGAATAGTTTTTTTTATAAAACCCAAAAACTTGTTTAGTATGACACATAATTGTTTTTAAGTCTTAACAATTAAAAATAATTCTCTTATCAACAACTCGCTGCTAGGGCTGAAGGGGAGAGAGAGAGACAGAGAGGGGAGCGGGATAAGAATGGGCTTTTTATGTTTTCATGACTTAAGTTATATTTTCAAGTTAATTTTGAGTTCAGTTTCTCAAAATAGTCCTCCTAAACAAGAATTTTAGGCTTAAGTTGAGACTAAAAAACTGTTTTTGAGTTTAAATAATTGAATTCAAATTGAATACTAAACATGCTCTAAAGAATTTTAAAGGAATCCGCCAAACTCTACTGGCACTCAATTCAGATTTTATAAAGCTCTTCAAAGTCTAGTACAAATTAGAGTTTTTTAAAATTTGGTGATCCAATATAGAATTGGCGTAATATCCCAATAAAAAAATACAATTAGTATTTCAATTACAACCAATTGGAATCATTTACCAACTGAATAGTGATTGAGCGCTATATCCCAATATATATGAGAGAACAAAAACCAGCTCTCTGCCTTGATATATACAATAGACTTTAATAACAATTCTTGTACCAAAAGTTTCTGAAATTTCAAATGTAACCTGCCACTACATTTTCTTGTTATTTCACTTTCTTCCAAAAATAAACAATAAAAAAAAAATACAAAAGCAGAATTTACATGACTAGAATGATACTGTGTCAATTGGGTTTTATCTGCTGAAGTCTATTGTACCAAATATTGTGCAGTATCATATGAAAAATATCATACTTCTCAGGCTTAGCATGCCACAGAAAATGCTGTTGCACCCTTCTCACCCTCATTTGCATCTGTAGATATCTCTTCTTCGGGATCGAAAGGAGTATGTTCTTCAAATTCGGGATATCCTTCTCCAACACGAAAACAGCAAACGACTCCCACTTCAGAATTTCGAAAAATGGAGGCACGAAATTGTCTGAAATGATCACCGGAACACACTCGTAGAAAATGGCCTCTACCACTCGCGGACTGTTCACTTCGTAACCTTTTGCGCAAATACAGTACTTGCTGCTCTGCATATGACGGACGTAGTTCTTATTGCCCTTTCCCTCAGGCAATCGACCGAAGATCTGCATGTCAGGATCTTTGTTTTCCCAATGCTGCAACAGAATTGGCCTGACATAGCCATGCATGCTTCCAGCAAAGAAAGCGAGTATTGACCTCTTGGAAGGACGAGTGCCTCCAAGATCTCTGAGAGGCTTCTTATCATTCTTGATGTATGTTTCGGGAAGAGACACATCCTTGCCAACTACAAAACCTTCTTTGACATCAGCATTGCAGAGGGCTCTTATGCACTTAGCCATAATTTTCTTTGTTTCTGACGGGGCCTGAAGAAGTGGCTTTTATTAGAAAAATATAATGTACTTAAAACTATCTACAGTTTGAATTTGAAGGCTACTTAGAAATTAATTAAAAATAAATGCCCTTACGTAAATCGCAAAGCAAACTATACAGGAAGCATGGAAAGCATACCCAGTCATGGCAAGCAACAAGAAAATGATCGGCTCCTCCAGTTCTGTTCCAGAAAGGATACTTCCCGGCAATCATGTCCACATAGTCCTTCAAATATTGTACAAGATTTTTACGATTGTGTGAATTGGGTACATACAAACTTTCCTCTAACCTTCGAGAGCTAAAAGGCAAGTAATACAGGTGGGCTTTCCGAGGGTTTTTGGTAACAAATCTCTTGTCCGCTTCCATCTGCTTCATGAACCAACCCTCGGAAGCATATATTCCCCTGAGAAATGGGGAGTGTAATATAGGTCTTTCTCCTTCCCGGTATACGTATACTTTAAGAGTGTTCTCCATTAGTTCATAGCTCCTGCAAATTAGATGAGAATTTACTTGAGCAGGAGTAACTACTTGAATAGTCACAACACGCAGCTTATGAAATTCTAGGGATGATTTTAAACGGGAAAAGTAACGACCAACATTGCAAGATAATGCATATGCCAACATTTTCATTTGACTCTATCCACATAGGTTACCAGCTTGTGACCGATATCATCAACTGTTTTTTTCAGTAAGAACAGGTTCGTGTTCGTAATAACTTCTAAAAGTGACTGTACTGTAAGAGTTCATACATATAACGGTTTCATCGACTGACCTTTTAAACATGGAAAGATTCCTGTATAGTGGAGCATAAAGAGTTTGATCACTCTTTAGAAGGGGTGCGTTTTCAATCTGTGATGCTGCATATTGCAACTCTTGGTCAACCGTTGAAGACCATCGTGGTTTCTGACCAAAAACAATACAAAACACGAAAAGTCAAAAATAAGAACAAGGAGTTGAAGCATTCTAAGAAAAACTTAGTCAGATTCAAATAACATAAATCAAATCTTTAAAACGTACCACTGAATGGTATGAGGAACGACTCTTACGCAACAGCTTGTTCATATCAGATATTGAATATACATCCAAGGCTGGAACCTCTGGCTCTTTGTTCATTTCTGGGACCCTGGTCAGTGAAGAACTTCGTTCTGTTCGGCTGAGGTTACTATGCAATTGCTCAGAGCTTTCGGGTTTCTGGGACAAAGTTGTTTGATCTTTCTGAACCAAAGTCACATTTGAGCCAACAGCTATAGGGGGTGCTCCGACGTTTGTTTCAATAATTGCTGGAGCTGCGATCGATGATGAATTTATCATTGGGGATGCAGGTGAAGTGGTTGGAAAACCAGCAGTAGAATTTACAACCTCATCTGTTGTATTATTTTCATTCCTAGTCCCACCTTCTGAAAAAGTAGTATCAGTGGTATTTTGCTTTTCAAAAGAGCTATGTCGCCGCTCTTGTTCAATGTCAGTCTCCAAGGGGTTGACATTTTCAACAATGAAAGTTCTATTTTGCTTTACAAAAATATCAGATGGCTCCTCCTGATCATTACCTGTATCCTCATCGATTTCTAAAGTTCTGTTTGAGACTTCATTTCTTTCTAATACAAAACCAGAGGTCCTAGTATCGTTAGCCATCTCGTGAATTCCATATGTACCAGTGTAGTTCAAATCATTAGAAAGCGACACGTTACCAACAGCCTCAGAATCAGACGGCGAATCCACAGCTTCGAAGCGACTTTTCCCCTCTACCGGAACCTTTGCAGCAGAGAGGATAGATGATAAGACAGTACCATATGGAAGCTCAAGATGCTGGACAACTAAAATCACAGCAAACAACATTCCCACAATCCACAGCAATCTCCTCGTTTCGACTTGACACAGAGACAAAAGCTCCTGACCCATTTTGACAGACCGCTCTAGTGATTATTGGGCAGTTTTTAACAAAATTATAAAAAAACATAATCCACCCTGCACATTTTCCAGTGCCACAATCACGAACTGTAATTATTAAAGAGGGACCGAAAAAATTGAATGCATTCTTCAATCAGTCCTCAAATGCACTTAATAAGATACCTTAAAAACAAACATATGCAACTAGTTGTTGGCAAATTATATCTAAACCAGTCAAGAAATTTAAGCGCACCATCGGGAAACAGATGAGATTTAAGCTGCTCATCAGCAATTAAACAACAATCCTTGCATTTCTTAATTTCCAAGTGAATCAAATTACATTCAAGAAATTTGAATTATGTATTACAGCTGACATCTACCATTTCCCTCCAAGCAAACCACAAAGAACCCTTCTACTACCAAAAAAACAATAAGGTTGAATTTTCAATCAAAAATCTCAGCATGCAAGAACAAACCCATTAAACTATGATCATTTTGCAACTTGACTAAAACAGGAAAACATTCAAGAATCAAACTTTAAACTATAATCACAGCTGATTGTGAGAGAGAGAGAGAGAGAGGCAAAAATAAAGATTCCAAATTTATCCGGAATCTCTACAAACTGGGTTTTGCTCGTTTTACATTCCCAGCCTAGTACTTTCCTTCCATTTCCCACACTTTCTCAGCAACCAAACAGCTATTTTCTCGCTGTGAACAGAAAAAAGAAACGGAGTAGCTTAATGGGTTCAAGGAAATACCTTC